AAACGAAAAAATGTTTATTGTAAAAATCGTTTTTAGGTACGAGTATAGAGTACCGTCAATCCAAGCATGGTAAACACTATGCCCATTGCCAGATGTCCCTCTAAATACCATCCTCCAACCATCTTGCTCTAAATCCTCCGTCTTTAATACATTCATACATGTACCACTGTTATGTAAAAGTAAATATTCAAAAATTTATTATATGAAGTTTAGTCTATATTGGACATATTTAAACGATTAAGAACTTATATATCAATTAAAATTTCTACTGTCGCTAGTTTTCAACGTAATATAATCATTTCTTTTTATTACACGCCTTAAACGGATCATCAAACTGTGATTCTGCCTTTTTTCAGCGTTTTTTGGATTTATGAAATCATGTTATAAAATGTCTTAAATTTGATGTCAATTTACATAGGCTTATACTTTTCCTAATCTTTCCTTTAAATCCCCCGTACCCCACCCATCCTCCTATTCTTCAGTGCGAAGATTGTCCGCTCCATAACATTGTAATTTATAGATTGATTTATTTTGTATAAATGTTTAGCAAATTGTGAAACTGTGTGATGTGTAAGATCTAGGTCTGAAGCTCAAAAGTCCAAGTCACATTCAATCGTTTTTGATTTTTAAATAAGTTTTTCGTTTCTGGTCACGATTCTGTCATTCCTGGATGGATAAAAAATATTATGCATAATTGTGTTGGACATAACGACGACATGTCGCTCGCAGAAATTGTGCCCCTTTCTCAAAGGTCAAGGTCACATTTGTAGATTAAGTTTCAGGATATGATTTTTCATAGAAGTACACTGATGTTAGCGTCCGATCAACAATTTATGAATAAAAGATATTATGCATATTTGTTTTGAACACTTTTAACGACGTGTTGCGCGCAAAAATCGGACTCCTTACTCAAATGTCAAGGCCATACGTGTAGTTATTAAGACCAAAAGTCATGATATGAATTTTTATAAAAGTACACTAATTTTAACAATTCTGTCATTCCTAAATGGATTGAAAAATAATTTGGCATAAATGTGTTGGACATAATGGCCATGTGTCACTTGAATAAATCAGGTCCTTACCTCACATTTGTATTCCGAAGTCATGATTTGAATTTTTTCATATAAGAGCATCGATGGGTTATGTCCGGTCAACATTTCTGTCAGTCCTGGATTGATGCATAAATGTGTAAGCATATTGTTGATTGTCCAGTCCATATATGTTTGTCATTCAGTGACAGATTTCGTAATAATTTGACGTAAAAATATAAGTTTTTAGCTAAAATACCAAGATCATGCTAGGACTAAGAATTATCGTTTCATAACAGTACATCGATGTCTATATCAAGACATCAATTCTTCCATCCATAAATAGATTTTGAAATAACTAGTCATAATTCTGTATGTGTCACACTTAAGACCTTACAGCTAACATAAGAAAATATTGTTTGTGTCTATTTTTCTCTGGTAACACTCTCTTTATAGTAACCATGCCTTTGATGCAAGTCATTATACTTGGTCCTGTTTAGGGGAATTTGTCAGTTTCCAACGACAGTTCTTGTTATACGAATATTTGAAATACAAATCATTTAAATCCTGTATATTAATCTAAGTTTTAAAGAAAAAAGCATAAAAAGTTTAGGCTATTTTCAGATAAACATCGACAAGAAAAGCTGTGGCATTTTTATAAAAAAAATAAAAATAAAAAATAAAGCGTATCTTTTTCTTTTTTCTTAATCACTTAAATAACAATTTGTTTTTACTTGCATTTTTTTTTTTGGACTTTTGAATACACGAAGAAATGGTATCCAATCGCCCGTTTAATAATGACATTAATAACGTTAACCGTCATTGAAAGAGTTCTCATTTTTCACTGTATTAAATTGCAGTCTTTCATTTGTCTAGCAATTTTAGTGGATTTATCCGAAATGGATGTTAAGATAGCTTCACATCTGCGGTATAAGTCCAAACATGTTGATAATAATTTCGTCTGCGTATTTTCATTCTCATTCACAATAATTTGATTCGTACTCAACAATATTCGCTTTAATTTATTTCCCCCTTATGTATTTCGTTTATAGATGATATAGCAAATTTAGATTCCCATTCTTTTTAAAACATAATTAATCGAGCAATATTTAGCTTTTTAATGAAATGTAAGGAAAAATCAATATTGAGTATAGGGTTTAAAACGTTTTCTGTCTATATACTTAATCCTTGAATCTGGGACACCACTACAAAGACCGGAAGACTGTTTTAATCAAAGATTCCAAGAAATTTCCATCCTTTTTAAATGACTTTGTTATAAGACCTAACACAATTGACATAGTATTTAATGGTTAGACCTAGGAAACACCGTAAGATATGTTTCTTGTTTTAGTTATTGTACCTTACAATCTCGTAATCATGTACACATCAATATGTGTTTCCTCAATATGGAAAGATACAATTATTAGAATCCTAAGAGTAAAATTAATGGAACACATCAATAATAGTTTAAGATCATAAATACAAAACAAAATCTACTGAGATTAACATACGATCTCGGGGATTTTAATATTGCATATTTGGTCTTTTAATGCGGATTTCCGGGATCGTTATTGTAGACAAACTTATAGATCTAAAATGTCATATCACAGTTAGTTCTCTCGTTTGAAAACCTATTCAGTACAGAATTAATGATGTTTAAAAGCAGTGTTAACTGATTTAAAGTCTTAAAGGTGAGGAAGCACGATACACAGGTAAAACATATCCGAAACACTTAACTTTAAACTTTGTTTCCGACACTGCTTTAAATTATTTTGGCATTTAGACGTCTCAGATGGTTCCTTTATATTCGTTTATAAATTTTACCAATGCCATAACCAATTACATCCCGTGATTTCAGATTGTAATTTTTGAATGACCAATGAAAAGCCTATCTAAATTCAGTTCTTTCTTTTTCTTATTTTACAGTCTTCTCAGACGAACTTCGTCCGAAAAAAGCAGGGTTAGATTTTTATTTATAAATGTTAAAAATTTTGTACACAAGTTTTTTGATTACTGTATTCAGTTTTACTGCACGTGTAATATCCATGCCTTGCCAATATATTTATATATAAATTAAAAGTAAGCAACAAATATGATATGGCTAGAAAAAAATCTAAACAAAATAAAAGAAAATCCATTTACCTGGCGGCTGATGTCTCCAATTGACACGATTGAACAAAGTCGATACTAGTATAGCCCAATACGAGGAAAACTGTCAGAGCCCACAAAGATACCATTTTTGGAGTTTGTAGTAAATCTACGTTTCCTTAACAAATGTCGATATAACGTATGTTGTATTTGACTGCTTTTACGTTTATTTACACGCTCAAACAATAGTAACGCATCAATGACTTATGGAATAGTAATATTTTCAAGCGTAACCACCTACTAGAAATGTCAGTTACGCTTGTTCCGCCCTGTTACCATAATCTGATTCGTTATATTAACATAAAGGGGCTGGTTTATAAAACGAACGCCTATCCAACTGTATATTTATCATTAAGTACACTTAATTGTTAATGCAATGGCTCATTGTTAAAAGAGTATGACTTCTGCAACAAATCAATTTATCCTGTGCAATTATCATATAAAAAGTCGTGTCTTGTCTCATCATTTTGAAATCAAAATTCTTAGGGAACACCGACCGATTATTTAAAAATATAGGACAAGGACCATAATATATAGTTATAAGCTTTAGAATCTTATTTAGCAATATGGTAGGAAGACATGCAATTATTTGAAACAATGCCTACAATTCCTTAAATATTGATAACTGTACTGTTTAACATCTCTTTACATTTCTTCAAACTAATATTATAGACAACATGAAAACTTAATGACCTTCAAAAATTGAACATATTCAAGACTTAGTGAGTCACGTATTGAAAGCCGTCTGCAGAGCAAAGAAAAAATATTTTCATTGGTCATTTTATAATTGTAAACTGAAATCAGGTAATTTCATTGGCTATTCTAACGTGAAATGTAAAGGACAGTGCTTGTTATTCTAAATTAAAATTGTAAGGTAGTTCTAAAAAAATGCAAAGGATAGTTGTTGCCATCATAAAATAAAATGCAAAGGATAGTTCTAAAATAAACTTTTATGTATGTTTTATTATGTTGTGGATTGGTTATTACATATGCAAATTAGCCAGCTTTACTTCGGCCGGGTATCTTTTCAAATATAATTATTGTTACTTCCACGAGATCAACAATCAGAGTATTTGTTAAAAAGATAAGTGTCGGGTGTTTCAAAATAATGAATTCACAATTGTTCGAAAAACTGACCACATCCTGCTTAAATATAGTTAACCTTTCTCACAATCTTTCTTTCCAACCAGGATGTCAGATTATCATCTTCTTTATAAATTAATGCAATAAGGATGTTTCTGTATTTTTATGTGTTTGTTTGCTTCGCACGTTATCTGAAAGAGTATGCTTCTAAATGTACAAAACCACAATTATATAATCCAAACTTTTACTGATTCATTTTACATTTTGTTTATCTCGATCGTACGGAAAAAGCATAAGTGCCATGTGTGTGTTTTTTATTTCGACTTGCTAATTTGAGATTTCGAGTTACATAATTCGAAATTTCGACTTGAAATTTCGACTGAATAACTCGAAAGTTTGACCCACTTGCTCGATATTTCGACTTACGATTTAATAACTCGAAATATCGACTTACAAACTCAAAATTCCGATTTTCTCAGTCGAAATTATGTGATTTTATATCGTCAGAATCATATAAGTCGCAATTAGATATGAAAAGAACAAAAGACGATTTGAAAAAAGCACAAATCTGTTCAAGGTTTAGACAAAAACTCGGATAAGTTTTTTGTTAAAACGAAGAAATAATACGAAGAGTTAGAGGACCTAGAATCTCGATAAATGCGTTTACTAACAATTTATTATTCAACGGAATACCACAGGAGGGCACCGATAAAAAACCGTAAGCAGTTAGCAAAAGACTTCTGCAAAAATATATTGAAAACCTTTTCCGCAAATGAATTTGTGTTCGACAACGCATATAGAATTGGGCAGAAAAAAGGTTCGAAACCCAGACCTGTGGTGGTCAGATTTCATTACTTAGAGGAGCGCGAAGCTGTCCGGAAATCGTCTTTTGAAAGGGATATCGCCGACTCTATGAAATCACCAAAAAAGGGCGTTTGAGTCCAACTACCTAACAGTGTCAGGGAGGTACGAAAGCCACTGTATCCAGTTATGGAACGCGCGAGGGATTAACATAAAAACGTAAAATTCATTGGAAACTTTTTTCATTGAGGAAGAAAAGTACATACCAGACGATCCGATTGAATAGAAAAAAATACTATATTATATATAAAACTATTTGTCTTTACAGTACACGTCTGTAAATTATATAAACACGCATGTCTTTCCATTATCGCGGAACCGGTTATATTGTGTATGGCTATAAATTTGTTATTTGTTATATGCCAATATAACTATTTGAGTTAAGTTGAGATATATCAATTTACATTGGGGATTTTTTAGACAAAACTGAGGATAAATAAGTTTTCAAATTTGTGATAAGTCTCTGATATTTTGAATGAATGATCGAGACGATATCTTTTAAGGAGGATTTACATACTATAATAATAATATTTTGTATAGATTCCCAATTGAGACTTTTTCTATATACCTATTACGGATGTGAAATTTTGTTTTCAGATGCTACGCAACGAAACGATATTTTCAAATTTTGTTTACATGATGTTTGTCATGATATACATATGTCAGCAAGTATAACCGCTTTTGTATTGAAAAGATTTATTAATTTTTTCTATTACATGCATTTGAAATGATTAATCAACTTCTACAATGAAGCAACTCCAGTATGAATGTTAGCTTAATGTGTGTGCATGTGTTTCTGTATCGCGCACACTTACAAGTTTTTTAACAATTATTGGTCTATTCATAAGATTCTGTAAAATGCGTAATGAATGCGGAAAGGCGTTGCATTCCTCGTATTTACTTTTGATTTAAGAGGTAATGTGATACATGTACTTATCTTTTTATAAGGATGATTTCCAAAGTCCAGTGGTAATACAAGCTTCTTTCACTACACGGCACGCTGTCTAATATTTATGTGTTACACGATTAATATCGGACCTTCACATTAATATTGGACGAACTGTTATACTGTATTTAAAGTATTGTACGCTAGAACAAAGGGGCGAGTCATAGTAGTTATTTAATCGTCATTGAGTCTTACCGGCGCCTAAATTTAGAAACACCACGACATACTTTTGACTCAAGATTATTATATCCTTTGCTAAATACTTTCATATTTGTGAAAAATAAATAAATAAAAAACGATCATCGTTCATATTTTGTGTATGTATCCGGGTCAATAATTCAGATAACTTAATATATTGTAGATTATTAAAGTTCTTTCCCTTGATTTCACATAATTTTAATCATGTGACAATTTCATTTTTTTTGTGAAAAGTGTCTGACATTTTAATAAGATATTAATTGCTTGTATCACGATTCTGAACTGTTTACTATTCAAGGGACAAGATGTGTAAGCGGCCGGATTGCTCAGTCGGTAGTACAGTATTCAGAGGGTCTCAGGTTCGAATCCCGGTCAAGCTGCTCATTTTCCTCATCCTGAGACATTAGCACCAAGCGGGGACGTGACAGAATATATTAGCCGAGACGTTCATAAAGGATACCGTCTCCTATTACAAGTCAACATTTATAGAATGATAAAATAATACTACCTTTATTTAGACGAAATATTCTTTTAAAGCGATTCCGGAGAATATGGGCGATGGGGAAGAATTTCAAAGCCGCAGTCAGTTGCAGCAGCCATCGCAATTTTGGATGGTGAACCAGGGTGCTCAAACTGCATGGTCTGTTTTCTTTTTTGAATTCTGGATCGAAGCCATGGACACATGTTTCATCCTGAGTTACGATCCGGTAGATAAAATTAGGTTTACCCTTGTAGCGAGACAAAACATTTCATGAAAAGTCAAGCCTGGTCCGTTTCTAGACGTCAGTCAATTGTATCGGGACCTATCTAACGGAAACTTTTGACATGCCACAGATATCAGTCAGAATTGCCTGAACTCTACCACAGCTTTTACCCACTTCCTTAGCAATACTTCGCAGGTCTCGCCTTCTGTCGCACATGACCAGATCGTGCACATCTTCGGCAGATTGATCGTTGGTGGCCTCTTTTGGCCGCCCAGAAAGCACATTATCTCCAATGCTCTCAATGCCCCTATTAAATTCAGCGGCCCATTTTCTTGCACAGTGTAATAGGAAGGGGACTCCTTCCAAAGTGTATCAATGAAATATTCATGGGTTTCCTTTTGGGACATCAATTTCTTAGAGGGGTACTTAATGATTTCATCTTTCTCCATTTGATCTAAATGACACAACCCTATACTGATCAAAGTGTGTTTAACGTCACTTATAAGACATTTTCTACAGTTTTATGAAAAATTAATCTTTTCATAGAATTTTATAAATTTTTTGTATGATGAGTAAAATCTAATGACGAATTTAAAAATAAAAAGAAAAATATATGTTGACGTGTTTGATTTCTTGTTAAATGGCAGTTGCCATGGTAACCGTATATCTAAAAACTGTCAAAATAGCCTAACTGTGTTTTAACGAATAGAAAATGTACAAGATAGCTGAAAACACACAACAGGCATTGTTTTATGCAAAGATAACCTCATCTAATGATTATGTATGAAACAAATGATAATCTGAACATATTTCTTTAAAAAATGAGTTTTCCATGTTCCTCAACCGAACAAAAAATGAGAAAAATGAACATGAATTCTCAGAATAATAAGAGATATTGAAAAAAGTGTTTTATAGGATTTTCTAATTTTTTTGTATGTTGTGTAAAATTTAATGACAAATTCAAAAAGAAAAAGAAAAATATATGTTGGCGTGTTGGATTTTTTGAAAAATGGCAGTTTCCATGGTAACCGTATATCTCAAAATTGTCAAAATAGCCAAACTGTGTTATAATAATGTATAAAATAGCTTATTACAATGTATTACACTCACAATAAACATAACTTTATACAAAGCTTGCTTTATCTTAGGGTTCTGTATAAAACAAACGATAATTTAAACATATTTCTTTAAAAAATGAGTTTTCATGCTTTTTAACTAAACAAAAAATGAGAAAAATAAACATGAATTCTGTAAAAAATTAAAGCTATCAAGAAATTTCTTTTATAGAATTTTCTACGTTATTGATATTTCAAATAACATTTGATGGTGGATTCAAAAATAGAAATAAAATATATATGTTGACGTGTTAGTTTTTTGTAAACGGGCAGTTTCCATGGTTACCGC